AGCTCAATAGTCTTACGCTGTGGCATGCCCTCGAAGCGCGCAAGGAGGCGCAAGATGATCGGGAGCAGCAGCATGAGAATGGCGAGCAACGCCGGGGGAAGAATACCGGATATGATGCCAACGATGACGGGGGGCAGCTTGCACAGCCATGCGAGCCAACTGTACGTCGTGCAAAGCGCGTGCACGTTCGACACCACACCGATAAACGCGACTGCGAGCAAGTGATGTCAGTTATGACGGCGAGAATGCACACATGCGAGAGTTACGTACCAGGTATGGCCCAGACGATGATAAGACCAATTGTGATGCACCACGAGATGGCAGTCCTGACACGAGCCTCGTAAGGGTTCATGTTCAGGTTGCTCCAGATCACGTCGTCCGGGACTACGCCAACGCCCTTGGACTGCATCCGATATGGCATATGGTGCGTGAGGACCTGAGCGGCCATGTGCGCCGCTATCTGCTGGTTGAAGAGCACAAACGCCGAGTTCAGCGGGGGGTATGTCTGCGACGTCGCAGGGTCCGCCTTGAGCGCGTCGGGGTGGTTCGTCTGCGGCTCGGGGAGATTCGACGAGGTGGCGACATCGCGAGCGAGCGTGCGGCGAGCGTTCCGCAGCGCGTCGTTGGTCTCCTTGATCTCCTGCCGCGCCCACTCGATGGTGTCGACCTTCTTGCCCGTGAACGGAATGCCAAACGGCAGGAAGCCGACCGGTGGAAGACGGTGCGTGGGGCGCTTTGCCCTGGGAACGAGCTTCTCAGCGAGCGATATGTCACCGCGTTCGACATCGACGATGCTGGGATCCGTGAGCGGGCGGCCGTCGTTAGCGGTATCGACGGATCCGCGCTTGTTCTTCTTCGCCGCTTTCGCCTCCGCCTTCAGGCTCTTGTTGTGCAGCTTCACGGCGGTGTTGATGAGGCTCGTCTCGGCAGACTCGAGCTTCTGTGCGGCCTTCAGGCGGCGCTCGTAGAGGTCCGGCATCTCCTTGAGGTCGCGGTTCAGCCAGACCTTGGCCACGCCGCCGGGGAGGTGGGAGAACACGTTCGAGAGAGCGGATTCGGTGAGGTAGCGACGGGGAACACCGGTGAAAAGCACCGTGCTGGCCTGCGGGGAAGACGCGTTCTTGGGGTCCATCAGCCACCGCTGACGAGCGGTCACAAAGTGCTTCATCTCGTGGCGGATGTTCCCCCAAATCCAGATCGTGAAGACCCACGCGAGGATGATATGCGCCGCGTACCGGGTCTGCTTGTCGGGCGAGACGTTGCCGAAAGTGAAGCGGTCAAGACCGGTGTGGCTGTCGACAGACGTGCCAGCGGAGGTGATAGGGAGGAGGATGGCCCATGAAATGAGCCAGATGGGAAGCAGAACCCGGACGAGCATGCGGAGGAAGCGGACGAAGAAGTACGCGTCCATGCCGTTCTTCTCCTGGATCTCGTGGTAGTCTGCCATGAAGACCGAGTACGGCCATAGAAGGATATTCTTCGCGAGCTCGGCTGCGCGTCGGCTGGAATAAGGACGTTGTTAGCACTTGCGCTTCAAGGAACGTACGCCACCGGGCCTGTGACGCATATATGCGGCCGTTCGCACTCCTAAAAATTTCGAGTGGCACATCCATCGAGTATCATCGTGCATACTCGAAGGCACGCCCCATGGGCGAGACTACAAGTCCTTATGTCCAGCTACGCCGCAAATAACGGCGAGCGACATACGACCTTGCGCAGGCCCTTGCTCAAGCCAAACAGCGGGAAAAAGAGGGTTATCCCAGACGGGCAACCCCCAAAACTTGCTATCGGATACATTCCAGCGCCGAACGATGACTCTGATACTTGCGCGCCGCCGAGATCTGTGTGCGAGTTTCTATGCCTCGCTCGGACCTAGAGCTTGAGCGAGTCGCATGCCAGGCACATCTCCCGCGCAGAAGGACTGCCTCATCGCATGTATGCGAGTCCGCTAGAAGCACGCAAATGCAACTCCGCCGACCTAGCGTACTCCACTGGCGGCCGCCCGCCTGCAGGCATACCCGCGTTTCGGACGGGCGAAAAAGCAAGAGTTTACGACGCGCGAGGATATCTTTTGTCTCTTTGGAGAGCACAACCGGCCAAAAGGTTTTGCGATGGAGGGTATGGGCAACACGGCGGGCAGCACTGTATTCTCGACCGGGGAAATACCCTGAAAAGGCGCACCTCGTAGACACATGTTCGTTGAATGTTCCATTTCGAGGAAAGACGAGGAATAGGCGGGGGCTTTTCCTCGCCTTTCCTCCATTTGGCACGTGTGAAGGAAAAGGTGTTCGCGAAGCGCGGCTTTCGCCTGGTCGAAGCTCTGGCGGTGCCCGCCGTGCAACTTATTGGGCGCATATATGCATGTATGCGCACATATGCGGCAACTTCCCTGCCCCAGAGCTCCCGGCCGAAGCTCGAGCTCGAGCGACAACGGCAAGGCGCGTCCCAATCCCCTCATCGCCCCGCCCCTCTCTTGCGACCGGGTGCCGACTTGACCGACGTCGATGAACGCGAACACAGATGAGAACTCACCTCTTCGGGGGTATGTACGTTCGGGGTTGATAAATAGCTGGGAAGAAAGGACGGACGAGGGTGAATATGCCGAGCTCGATACCGAACACGGCCAAGTTGAAGACGAGTGCGGTGACGAACGTCGCGGTCGACGCCGAGGTCGCACTCGAGAGGTTGGAAGACCTGCAGACGACACGGGCGTGAGCGATAAGACGACGAGGAGGACACGGTGCACGCACATGACGGGTCGTTGCGCAGCGAGCGCGACTGGCAGTGGAAGGGGGCCCTGGGGGTGGCGGGGGCGGGTGGGGGGTATGGGGTCAAGAAGGAAGGACTTGGGTGAGCGCAAAGATATGAACGGGAAGAAAGAGGTTGACGTCGGGATGGGGCGCTGCCAGCCGCGTTCCACGCGATCGATCGAGGCCGACGAGTGTGCCTGCACGAGGGGAATTCCCTCTTCCGTCACTCGCACTTTATACGCCTCCTCCTCGCTTCCGTAAATGCGCGTACTTTGCGGTGATGAACAGCTGTGCGCCGGCTATCTCTCGTGTGCACTGATCTGCACGCTGCGCCGCCAGTCCGCGAACTGCGCTGGTATATGTCGAGGGTATACTAGTACGAGGACGAGGACGAGGGCACGCGAGGCGGAGAGACAGAGAGACACCGGCGCCAGGGAACAAGAAAGGCACTTTGACACGCTCGCTCCACGCTACGTCACCCGACAGTACCGTACGATGTCCCGAAATAGCAGGCGACCGCCCGATCCGAACTCAACCACAACTCTCCGCGCCCATCATCCATGATGACGACGGTAAATCGCGCGCATACATCATCTACTCCGTCCTGGTGGCGATACAGACCCGCGTACGTAGACTCATTGAAGGAGCGCGTCGCTCGAAGACACGCGCCTCGACGCTCGGCGCCACAGAATCCTCTTGCTGCGCATGTGAGGAATGGTTTATTCCTGATTGGGTACAACATGATACATACCGGAAGGCAACCGAAGCCAAGTACGAATACGTCGGTCGGATTCAAGTCTCTCGGACCAATCATTGACCTGGTCAAGAGCACGAAAAGGTCCATTCGCGTGGCTGCAGCGTGATGAACGCGCTGAAGCTTGAAGGCCTGAGGCCTGACCAGGGACACGACATAGAGGTGGCGGATCTTGGACGAGTCTTGTAGCACTCACGTCCCCGTGAAGTCAGCGCGATTGGTCGCCCGACTCTGAGATCGGAGCGCCGGGCACCTCGGGGATGTGGCCAGAGACGTCACAAGCCTACCTCCATCGTGTCTGCGCGGACTGCATAGCGGAGTAAGGAGTGAGTACATATGAGTGTCGCATTTAAGTCAAATATAAGGAACGAACCTCTGGCAGAGTGCAGAGCTCTGCGGGCGCAACATTTCGCTAATGCGCGTCCCCGGCGCACTTGTAGTTCTTCCGCCTTTTTGGCTAGTACTTCCACGCCGAGAAACGGGGGACGCATGCTTGCTTAATCGGATGGTCGCTCGTGGCATCACGGAGGTCTTCCTGCAGCACTCACGATCGGTGACATTGAACTCGGCGCGCCGGAACACCTCGCGAGATGTCAGTGCGTAACTGGTACCGGTCCAGAATTTGAAGCTGTTCTAAGAGAAAAGAGGGGTCCGTATGGGAAGGAATAGGTTTGCCTCTGTGTAGCCAGCCAACGGTCCATCGGCGAGAGTTCGGGGTGGTGATGCGCTCACGCGCTCCCGGCGGAGAGGGTGCCAGGACTTTCTTCGTAGCAGACACCTCGTTGGTAGACTGAGCTGAAGACCAAGACTGGTGCAAGAACCAAGAATATCCGACCGCCGCAGTCTTGAGTAGTGTCAGTTGTGTCAGAAGGTACCGTCGACGTCGCCAGCAGCGTTGTGCACGCCTGGGCAGCCCCCGGTCCGACGAGTCGTATGTGCCGTGCGGTAGCTGTGCCGTACCAAGGACACCTTGTGCAGACCGCTGAACGGGGCCAGCCACATAGTACTGGAGAGCTGAGCAATCGAGTCGCGTCAGACGTTTGTTCTTCAACATCAATGAAACGCGGTCCTGATGTCCAAAAAGCTTACGACTTGCACCTTTGCCGACATACTGCGGGAACCTGTAAGACGTAGCGACTCCGTACGAATCTGCCGTCTGCCTATAAGTATGCAGGAGGCCGCAGAACGTGTAAGTCTGGGTTTCACAAATGGGTAGAAGTATTCGTGGACTCGCCTTCCCCGTCCGAGTCCGCGTGTCCGACAGAAGATAGTATGGCTCGCCGGTCGGGCGGCAGCCGTACCTAGCGTCGAGCGAGGTTATCAGGAGTTTCTGAGCCGTACGTACTTCATGTTGACAGACTCAGGGCAGTGGAGGAGATTCAAACAGAGTGACACAGAAGACGTGACGCGGACATCAAGAGGCTATGTCGAGACTTGGCTGAGATTGGTCAGAAACGCGGATATGTACTAAACATAAGCATTGGATATAATTACACAGCAACTTGACGCAGTGGAAGCGTGCAGGGCTCATATTTATAGTGTAGCGCATGCTTTGAAACCCTGAAGTCCCTGGATCGAAACCAGGAGTTGCTAAGCCCGATGAATCTATTCGCTTTTTGATTGATGGGATTCGGTGATCTCCCTTGCTCCAGGAGCAGAAGATCCAGTAACCTCCATCTTCTATAGTAAGCAACAACGGTTTTCGCCTTTTTTGGGCAAACTTGCCTCAAAAGGCAACTCGAGACACCCTTCTCCTTTGTGTAGGCCGTCGAGCGTGCAGTCTATGTTACAACCATAACGCAGGCTTCGTAGAGTGCGAAGAGACGAGTCAGTTTCTGCAAGCTGCGTGGCCGTGGCGGGATTTTTGTAGCTTTTATTGCGGTCTCTTTACGGCGCTTATGTATGACTCTCCAGGCCCGCGACAGTTCACAGCAGCTCACAACAGGTTCCGTGTGCTTCTCAGCTTTGCACCGTGACATTTGAGACGATGGGGCGGACACGGCGCGCCACAGCGCGCCGTGACCGCCAGCAGAATTTGGTTCGTGATAAATGCTCTAGCGGGTCCTCACCCATTGCACTCGCGACGACTCATGGCACATACCATCACATCTGCAGCTGTTCAGACACCTCGCGCCGTCACGGTGACCGCCCACATTCGGTTTGTGGCGGACACGGGTATCATCTGCTAGTGTCTTGAACATACCCATATACTCCTTATGATTGACCGTCGGTCGAACTTGTCAATGAGGATCCAACAGCGTTCGTGGTTGCTGCTAGGCGCCTACGAGCTTGCTTCCGACCGCGAGGGGTCCTGAGATCATTCGACCGTTCAGACACCGGAGTGAAAAGGTATATTATCATCATACTGCTACGTATTGAGAAGTTGTGAGTCAATTTCTTCTCATTGATTTCTCCGTGTGCGTGTGTTCATGAACTAACTGTTACATTGACGTGTCGCATCGACTACTCAGAGTCACCATGCCGGCCGGCGGTCTGCAGACGCACAACCTTCCGACAGAGCTCCTCGATATGATCCTCGAGGAGACGGCACTAGAGACGCGCAAGGCTTGCAGCCTCGTGTGTCGAGGTTGGCTGGACCTCAGTCGCACACATCTCTTCAAGGTCATCGTCGTCCGTGCGGACGCAACTTTCGACGCCTTCCTGTGCTTCCTGAGGGCGCATCCGCACATCAGCATCCATATCCGCAAGATTTGCCTTTATGGACCGCTTGGCTCAGGCAAGCCCGAGGCGGAGTGCCCTCGCGTCGACCCCGGCACGCTGGTCGACATCTCTCTATGCACGCCGAACGTCTCCTATATCGAACTGCAGGCGATTCTGTAGATTTTCGGGACGCAGACGAGCGCGCGCGAGCGAGGAGAGACGAAGGGATTCGATTAGAAGGAGGGCGAGTGTCCTCTGAGGTCGAAAGGAAGACGGCGGGTGCGGGTTACAGAGGACAATCGCGTGAGGAAAACAAGAGGCGGGGGACGGTATAAGTACTGTAGATAGGCGCTAATAAAATCGTAATCTATCGATGGATAACCGTACGAGCTCGACTAAGCGTCAATTACACCAACAGATTCAGCTGGTCAACACCCCTGAGGAGAGCAGACCGCACCTTGCAGCACTGCGTGGCCCGGTTCGGTTGACAACGTTCCGTCTGCTG